CTCCTGATGTCTAGCCTGAATCTACTCTCAGTCAACTTATGGCTGTTGTTCCTTGTTACCCCCGGTAGCACTCAGGACTCTCCCATAGCTTGCTGGTCCCCCTTGGCAAGTTTATAGGCAGCCACCAGATCCCACCTCAGCCTTCTCTTACGGAGGCTGAACAGGTTCACGTCCCGTAGCCTCTCCTCGTAGGGCCTGCCCTGCTGCCCCCTGATCATGCAAGTGGCCTCCTCTGGACCCTCTCCATGTCGTCCACATCCCTCCTGAAGTGTGGTGCCCAGAACTGGACGCAGTACTCCAGCTGCAGCCTGACCAGTGTCACAGAGGGGGAGGATCACCTCCCTGGACCTGCTCGTGATGCATCTGTGGATGCATGACAAGGTACGGTTGGCCTTCCTGACTGCGTCCCCAGTTTGCCGGCCCATGTTCATCTTGGAATTGATAGTGATTCCAAGATCCTTCTCTGCCTCTGTGCTGACGAGAAGGGAGTTCCCCAGCCTGTAGGTATGCAGCTGATTCTCCCTCTCCAGGTGCAACACCTTGCACTTGTCAGTGTTGAAACCCGTCCTGTTCTCATCCGCCCACCCCTGTAACCTGCCGAGATCTAGTTGTACCCTGGTCCCTCCCTTCTAGCGTGCCCACTTTTGCCCACATCTTAGTGTCATCTGCGAACTTGAACAAGGTGCTTTTCACCCCCTTGTCCAAATCGCCGACGAAGATAATGAACTGTGCGGGCCCGAGAAGCGAGTCCTGGGGAACCGCACTGCCCACATCCCTCTAGGTCAAAAAAGACCCGTCCACCACCACTCTCTGGGTGTGGCCCTCCAGCCAATTTTCGACCCATCTGACAGTATAAGCACTGACACCACAGACGCCTAATTTTTTTTTAATGAGGATGGGGTGAGAGTCAGTGTCAAAGGCCTTCCCAAAGTCCAGAAAGATTACATGCACCATGACACCTGCATCCAAGGCTTTTGTGACCTGGTCATAGAAGGCCACCAGGTTGGTCTGACAGGACCTGCCTCTAATGAACCCATGTTGATTGCTCCTAAGCAGAAACTCCCCTGCTGGGCCCTCGGAGATGTGCTCCTGGACGATATGAATAAAGATAATACATAACTGGGTGCGTAAAACCATGAACAGGCACACGTCTAATGCTGCAGCTGTTTCTAATAGCTGGTCACACAACGAAAGAAGCTGCCAGTAGAAGATGGCATGCCCTGCAGATCTAGCTGTTTGGTCTGTCAGAGACAAAGATCCCCTCTGCTAGGCACCATCATGCACCTTCATGCTTCAGGCATCACTGATTTACCCCAATCCAAACAAGTAAGGTTCCTTACCTTTCAACAACTGCTCTTTGCATGGCCTCTTGGCTGTATGGACACTTCCCCACAACAATCGCTGAGAAATACACTGGCTGCTCCAGCAAATGCATCAGAAGGGCTCCTTGACATCCCAGCACGTTCCAACGAGCCAGCTTGTCACTGCAGGACATGGAACACGTCCTATCCCCACGGCCCGGCTTTACTCTTAGCAATCCCACGTGATGGTACTCAACCCCAGGCCCCAGAGCATCACCCAGCTCTCCTGGCACACACTTAGCTCCAGTTCTGTAAACATCCATCACCTTGGCTTTCGTCCGGCCAGCCTCCTGGGCAGCTACTGCACTCACTGTTTGTCCACCTTCAGTGGACGCAGCAGTGCTGGGATCGGTGTGTTGTAAACTCCCTTGTTTCCCAGAAACCTGTGAAGTAGCTGGCCCCTCAGTGACCTCCCATGAACAACTGCTGGTGACAACTTTCACTCTTTTGCTTAGTTGCTCACTTTCAGTTCCCTCTGTTTTCCTTTTGTTTTCTGGACCCAGGGGGTCACGGTTCATACCACACTCTGCTGACTGTCTTATCACACCTTCTAAACCAACCGGCTTGCAAGGCTGGTCCTCTCGTTCACTCATGGGAATAATGGAGGCATCCCCACCTAGAAGAAAGGAAGCCACATCAGCACAGGCTGACAAGGAGAGCCCTGCTTGTGGCTACTGACCCATGCAGATCCTTTCAGTGATGTGGCAAAAGCTGCACCCTGCAAGGATCTGAATTCAGGAAAATGGATTAAGCATTGGGAACAATGAGTTCTTTACGCAACACTACACCCACGGGACTTTGAGCCCACTCTGTCTTGCGTGAAAATTCAGACGCAACTTATACTCCTCCTATGGCTTCAGCATACCTCAAGGAAATGCTAGAAGCCACCTGCACTAAGCAGAGAAGGGTCTGGGATCAAAACAGCAGCAATCATTAAAATAGAGAGTGTTAAGAGCATGTGCTCACACAATAATGGCACCCTTCCACCACCCTGCTAAACTGACAGACCCTAAACACAAAGTTGAGGGCTGAACTTGGAACGCAGAGAGGTGGATGCACAGCTGACAGAAGGATATTAAGGGTCATGTTCTCTCTCTCCCAGCACTTAAAACTTGAAAATGCAGTTTCTTCTCACACATCCATATTGGCAAAGGAAAAACCACCACAGATTCCTGCATCTAAGTGATAACAGACTGTGAAGTAACAGAATTATGAATTTACTTTAGGTTCATAGATTTACTTTAGATCTAAAGTAAATTCATAATTCTGTTACTTTTCTGAAGATCTGCTATTGGACCCAGCCAGCTCAGTCTCAATCAAGCATATTTGTGGCCTATTTGGAGTTGTGCTGTGTCCTTCCAGAAATGCAACCTCTTCAGTTCGGATATTGTTGGGCTTTTTATGTCAGAGCATAAATCTACTCTGAAGTAATTCTTACAAGAAAAAAGTCTTGCATTTCAGTTCAAAAGAACTTTGCAAGGCACAGAACCATGACTAGCAAACAGAACATAAACATACTTGGCTCCCCTGACAGGTGAAAAGGCAGATAAAGCAAAGCAATCTGGAAAAGTGACAGGCCTGAGTATGCTCCAACAGAGCCTCTGGCAAGTTTGATAGGTAGGTCATGCAAAAGAAACTGCTGGCCTATTCCTCCCAAAACAGGAGACTGACACACTCCCTGCTATGCATTAAACAAACCACTACTGCTTTAGAGCCCACATTATTGAGGTGAGATGAGCACTGCCTTGCTCTAACCCAGCAAAAATAAGAGTGGGAGATGGCTCAGGGCCATCAGGCAGAGGTGAGCAGGGGAGTAGGCAGCAATGCTGCACTTACAAGGAGTGTGGCTAGAGAAGAAAATGAAAGTGATGTGTGGCTTGAGTTTCCACTTCCCAGTCTCCGTCCCTGGGATGAAGATGCTACACTGCTGGTGTGAGGCTGCCAGCCCCAGCTGGTAGAGGAGATACCTGATGGACAAGAGAATTATTGTGAACCACTCACAACCTCAAAGAGAGTAAAAAAAATCATGTTTTGAAACAGCACATGAACCCCTGGCCAGGTTACCAGCAGGGTATGCATGTGTGCATGGAAGTTGAGAGGCTACAAAAGGCATACCCCACTCACAGGGGAGGGCCTGCAGCCTACCAGCCTGCAGAAGAAACAAGAGAAAGTGCTGCCTGCACGGAAATAGAACTGCCCTGCTTCATCCACTGGAGGAAGAGGCACTCTGGGTATTTCACTGCATCTATATCGTGGCAACGTGAACATCCCGAGGAAACCAGGCATGACTGCACAGGACGTGGACTGGGTACCAGCATACTAAGGGCTTAGTGCCTCACCTCTGGAAGCTCCTCTTGGCCACAACTTCAGCATGACTGTCATTGAGAACATCCCCTGCAGCAAAGCACAGAAAAAGTCTGTAATGAAGCATGATGTTGAGCAGTATGTAGGGCAGCAAAACAAGTGCAACAGCAAGTACAGCGGTATCTAACAAGGACAACTTGCCTGTTTCTGCAGACCTTCCCCAGCCTAATTCAGACAGCTGCGCTACCCCCAGATATTTAAACCGCCTCAGTGATTCCCACCACACTTCTGCCCTGCAGTACAGTGACACACTGCATGCCTCCAACAAAGGACTGTTGCCTAAGGCCTCTTTGTGCTAGGTTCTCTAGTCACATCTCACAGGAGAGGAAGGTGGGACAGTAGCTGGGTAGGAGAACTTTGTCAACCTCATTGCACGGAACGCAGGAAGCAGGTGCCATGAAGAGTGATGGGGAGAATATGCACATTGGAAAATAAAATGGAATTTATTCACCAGATTGGATATTGAGTTTGGGGAGCACATGAACTCCCCAAAGCTTTTAGGTTACAGAGCTAAAAGATGCCATTCTTAACTTTACTCTTCTTCCCCCCAAAACAGCAAATGGCAAGACAAGAGACATTTCAGACATAAGTCCCCAAATTTTTCTATCTAGTATTTCAGATCGTGAAGGTAGTAGAATAGGGCAAGACCACATGTCAGCACTAGGAATGGACATTAAGAGTTACTTGCCCTGCTCAGAGGGTTTTACTAAGTTTAAGAGTCCACACAAACAAACTTTTCCCATGTCAGGAGATGTTATGAAAACCAGCAATGATATTTTGGTGTTTGATAAAGAGGCCTTTTTAATGCACTACAGGTTTCTAAGTTACACGAGAAGCATTTACTAGAAAAATAAATGAAGCATTTACTTGCTTTAAAGAAAATTTGCTCATAACAGACAAGAATCAAATTAGATGGGCGCTGCACGAACTCTGTCTGCTTCTGGGGATAACCTGTCTACACCAAAAATCCAATCATAGTCAAGTCATTAGAGTACCAGCAGACTTGCACCTATTTCTATGAACAGAAGCCTTGCTAGGAAAAAAACAATGTTCAAAAATAAAACCTGACTGACTAAAACCTAATGCAGATATGAGCAACTGAGCATAGCACATTTCCCATCTCAGAATAAACATTTTAGCTCTTAGGAATACAGAAATTACCACAGTGGCACAGACCCAAATTCTACCTACTTTCACAGCCTGTCTCTGATTGTAGCTCTGCAAAAAGGTGCAAGAATCCTGTAGCTGGCAAACCTGGGATCATCAATCTCACACAGATGCCTAAGAGTCAGAGATCGACTCAGCCCTGGACACAAGGTTTCTACCTGTTCTCAAACATGCCATTACCAACACTAGATACTCTCAATAGCCCAACTACAGCCAATCTTTTTTCAACCGGATCTTGTAAAGATTTTGGCCAGAACACCTTCCTGCTGCAATTTATATATGCCTCACATGAAACAGTATTTCTATCAGTTTTGAATTCCCTTCCTTTTAATGTTGTGGAATGCCTCCTTGCCTTTGTGTTGTGGGACAGAACCTTCTGTCCTCCCTTTGCTACAGCATTCGTTATCCATGTACTTGTCATCTCCCCAGCATTAGCTTTCTCTTGACAGTGACAATCCCAGCGTGTCAATACTTGTACAGTTTTTCAGGCCCTTGTTCATTCCCACTGTTATTCTTTGAATCCCCCTAGTTCTGCCCTGTCACCTTCCAGGAGATGGGGTGACAAGTCCTGCAGTTTCCAGAGGAGACTGATGTAAGGACACAGTTTTGGCAATATTCTCCATTGCTTATGCACCCCAGAGTCGTTGCTCTCTAGGCCCTGTATTGACAAGTTCTCGGTCATTCTTTTCCCAGATTGTTTTCCAACATGATTTACAGAGACAGCTATTCTCCAAGGAGTAGCAGCCAGGTGCAGTCTGGTGCTCCTCCATGACAGTGCAGAGCAAGGAGAAGTAACTTCTCATAGCCTCGGCATCTTCAGGATCTGCCATAGATAACTGACTGCTGTATAAAGGTCTGCTGCGCACAATGAAGTGAGGGCACCACTCTCACTTGCCTGGGCCTGGTCAGTAAGTAGCTCCCTTTGCACCACACTTAACGAAACTGGACTAGAACAAATCTAAAGGTTTTCTTCTCCTTTTCTTTTTAAACACAACAGGCACTTTAGAAGCCTAAAGGACCCGAGTGTCCATGTACATGGATTCTGCTTAGTTCCCTTTAGGGGCTGTGGACAGGCAAGCTCAGCAGCTCCACAGAGACAGTGCTTGTCTTGTGCCCTTGCTCCATTCGAGGAGACTGAGCTCATGCCAATGACACAAGTGATGGGGAGACCAGGACCAGTGCTGGTTTCTGCACCACACTTACCACTTTTTCTCATTTTTGTCTGGCCAATGCATTTTGTTCCAGTCCCCATAGCAACAACTTCCTTAGTTACTGAAAAGGAAATAACATTGGCTGAAAGAACAGCTGCAAAACTCACCACCCTAATTTGAACATCTCAGGCAGCAGACCGGGAGCCCCATGAGCCAGGGCACCAAGCTGGAGGGTACGCAGCGGCCTACCACACAGAGCTGGCTGAGCAGGGCCACTCACCATGCAGTGTCACCCCAATCGTGATACAAGGCACAGCAAGGACAGACCCCTGGTGTGGGAGCCCTCCACGCCAGAAAGCACCAGAGGCCCCAAAACAAAGCACAGTGCCAGGAAAAAGCACGAACGAAGAGGTGACTTAGTCAGACGGGACAGAGGCTCATCCCATCCCCCGCCCCATGGGAGACCTGCCAAGGGCCAGTGCCTGGCTTGGGTCCTCGGGGCGATGCCAGAGCAATCTGCTTTTTCCCCCTAGGCCACTGCACGCAACATCCAGCTGGTCACTCAGAAACCACTGGTCAGTTCCGTCACCGGACAGCCGATGAGAAGCTGCAGTTTTTAACCAGGGCTTCAGGGAAGAGCCAGCGGCAGACGGCACTGAAGACTCCGTACGGGCTGGCCCTCGCGGTGGTTTGGGGCTGCAGCCGAGGGGCAGAGCAGCGAGCTCGGTCACCCCCGCGCGGGAAGTGGCAGTTGAGCCGACCGGTCAGAAATAACTGAGCACAGCGGAGACCCCCGCCGGGCTGCTAAGCAACGGGCACGTGGGGCTCGAGCAAAATGGCAAAGACGCGGGATTGGGGGGAAGGCGGTTTATTAGCCCAGGGCGGGCCGGGCCGGGCAAGCAGCGGTGGCAGCGAGGGCCGGCCGCGGCGGGCGAGCAGGCCCGG